TAGTGGTGAAAGCTTTCAAATACATATTATTGAAAAACCAGCATAAAATTCTAAGCATAGATAGATATTAAAGTCTGAGTCCTACTGTACAACATTTATCTGTCATTTCTTAAGATCTGGGTCAGTTTTTTGTTTTTTTTTTAAAGATTTTATTTATTTATTTGAGAGAGAGAGAATGAGGAAGAGAGAGAGAGAGAGCATGAGAAGGGAGAGGGTCAGAGGGAGAAGCAGACTCCCTGCCGAGCAGGAAGCCTGATGCGGGAATTGATCCAGGGACTCCAGGATCATGACCCTAAGCCGAAGGCAGTCGCCCAACTGAGACACCCACGTGCCCCTGGGTCAGTATTTTTAAGTGGGCATGTGTCTTAGTGAATTATGAAAAGACCAGAGAAATTCTGGGTTAGATGCTTAATTATATTCAGCAAATACCAAAGCCATTGTCAGTGGTATATCTGTAAGCATCTCATGTAACTGATGTCTAATAAATATGACCGGACATTGCTCTTATGTTTCCTAACAAAAGAAAAATAATACTGGATGAAAAATACTGAAAATAAAGTAAAACCATACATATCAGAGACATAATAATAAAATAATCTAGACTGCTTAAATAGTAGAAAAATATCTTTGCTAGATATAACTTTTTGATTAGCAAATTAATGAAGTTGAAGGAAAAAGTACTTAGAAAATATTTTGGAGTAAAATCCATTAAGTGTATTTTTCTGGACTTCTTGACAGATTCAAAATTTAATCATTCTGCTTATATTGTTACTAAAATTTATTTTCCATTTTTGGTCCTTAGAGAAGATAATCATTACTTCATAAAGTTTCATTCTTTCTGACACCTATATTGTTTCCAGTTAAAAGAAAAGTCCTTTTTTAGTATTGGGCACTGAAAAGAACTTACTTACACTTGAAAGCACGGCAAGTTTACTTACAGATTCCATTTTACTTTAAAAAGGGCCAAGTATGTTGTTATTGAAGAATGGGTTTGTTAAAGTGGCACATTCAGTTCTATTTAAGATAAACTGTGAAATAACAAACCATTAAATGTGGTAAAATGTATGTATTTCAAAACTGCCACAATAAATGTTTAATCAAAACTGAAAGTGCTAGCCTCTCTTTTAATAGTTAGCTCAAGAGTAGACAATTTAAAAATCAACCTATTGGGGCACCTGGGTGGCTCAGTGGGTTAAAGCCTCTGCCTTCAGCTCAGGTCATGATCCCAGGGTCCTGGAATCGAGCCCCGTATCGGGCTCTCTGCTCAGCGGGGAGCCTGCTTCCTCCTCTCTCTCTGTCTGCTTCTCTGCCTACTTGTGATCTCTGTCTGTCAAATAAATAAATTAAAAAAAAAAATTTAGGGGCGCCTGGGTGGCTCAGTGGGTTAAGCCTCTGCCTTCAGCTCAGGTCATGGTCTCGGGCTCCTGGGATCGAGCCCCGCATCGGGCTCTCTGCTCAGCGGGGAGCCTGCTTCCCTTCCTCTCTCCGCCTGCCTGTCTGCCTACTTGTGATCTCTGCCTGTCAAATAAATAAATAAAATCTTTAAAAAAAAAAAAAAAATTTAAAAATGAACCTATTAAAGCTTTCCTTCCCAGCATCGTTGAAACTGGGGTACTGATATAAAACTACCTATAAAAGAGAAGAATTTATTAAAAGCTATTCAAAGGAGAGAGAAAGAGATGATGTCAAGTACTTTCTATATAAGAACATACACCTAACACATGGTAGTCAACAGAAGTTTAGAAAAACTGTCAGATAAATAATTATGCATTGACACAGGTTTTGGCTATAAAGCCTTTACAAGTGGAAACATTTTGTAAGCACAGTGATTGTGTATTTTTAAGTTGAACGAAGTACCTGTGCAAACATTCCAAGAAGCATACACTGAAAATCTGTGTGAAAAATTCCATGATTACATATGAAAAGCAATAAAATACTTGCTCATGTTAACAGACTGCCTATGCCTACAATTTTAGCATTAAGTTCATATCATCCAAGAGATTATACTATGTTATAGTGACTGTAAAAACAGTTACTAACATGGATCTTTAAAGAAAATAATTTGTTAAAGACTAACAATAATGGTCAGAAAATTATTAAAGAAATGTTTTCTAAGAGTAACTAGTTATTTTTGATCTTGAAGAAAAGCTTATCTGTAAAGCTTTTAAATAGTAGCTTTTTTTTTAATGTTAGCTTTTCTTTTTTTTTTTTAAAGATTTTATTTACTTATTTGATAGAGATCACAAGTAGGCAGAGCAACAGCCAGAGAGAGAGAGGGAGAAGCAGACTCCCTGCTGAGCAGAGAGCCTGATGTGGGGCTCGATCCCAGGACCCTGGGATCATGACCCGAGCCGAAGGCAGAGGCTTTAACCCACTGAGCCATCCAGACGCCTCTTAAATGGTAGCTTTTCAAACAGACTTTCATAAAGTAATGACTTATGTTGGGATGGTGAGGGTAAGGGCAGCTGAAATTCTCTAATAAAAATCAACATGAATTCCTTGATTACTATATGGAAAAAGAATCATAAGCTTTGTTGATATCTTGAAAACTTCATACTGTCATAATAAAAACTTCAGAAAGATAATGTCTCAGACAAGTAGGATAACTTATGAAGTTATTTCAATATTTAAAAATTATTTCAATATTGCAAAAGTGAAAAAGCAAAAGGCAGACAATCATCTGAAGGTACAGAAATGCTAACCACTATTCACAGGTTTTTCTCTTTTTTGTCCTCAACCATTTAGTAAAGCTCAGAGATAAAGGAGATTAAACTGGGTTTTCAAATACAAGAAGTTCAAGTTCAAGGAGATACTTGTTGCTTTGAAGTTTCAGCTTTTCAAAGCTGGAACTCAGCAAAGTAAATGCAAATGTACAGGATTCCTGTGGAAACAGTAATGTAAAAACACTGTCAAAGAAAAAAATGAATACAGAAATGAACTCAGTATTGTCAATGATGTTGTCAACTTAGAAAATGCTATAGCATACATTTCCATCAGGCGGTATCAGTAGTTAGCAGATGGTGGATTCTCTTCTAAAGTAATTAATCGCAACATAAAAGGGGCTAAATTAAAAAAAATTTGTTCAAGAGCTCTCTCTGAAACAACTAAAAAAATATTCCCTCTTCCCAAGTCAAATTATTTTCTTTTATTGTATTAGATCAAGTAATAATATCTGTGGGATACCTGGACAACTAAATATTAAGATACTACAACTTCGTAGATTGGTTTCAGGTTATTAGTTTCCTGGGCTAGTTGAAATTATGCTCTGGGGAAGAAGTTTGAGACAACTGAATTCCTTCTCTTGACATGACTGACATAAAATAATAATAAATTTCAAGAAACTGAAATCCTAAGCAAAAGCATGTAAAGTAATATTAGCAAAAAGGCTTTTTAGAAGAGCGTCACTATATATATACACAAAACTCTTCTTTCCAATAACAAAGACATCAAGAGGGGCGAGGGAGATGAAAACAGGTAAAAAAATATGAGATACTATTAATAAAAGCAGCTCATTGAAAAAAAGTGAAATTCTGTTTACAAGGCTATTGTTAGGTAATCTAGGGAATTTAAGAGACCACAACATATTTTCTGGAATTAAGTAAGAAGATAAAGATCCATAACTCGCACCTTTAAGGTGGAACTATTTTGTACTTATTATGAATTTCTAATGGCTTACTTTTACCCAATACCTATCATGTGATAAGGATCTTATTTAATCCTACCAACAGGTCTATGGCATAGATTTTCCCTTTCATTTTATAGATGAGGATGGAAGCTACCTTACAGGGATCAAAAACACCGTAACGGGAGCTAGGGCTCAGACATGAGTCTGCAGGACTCTGTTGCATCGCTCAGCTATGCACTGTTGTGTTGCTGACACACTTAGGCCTTCCTCACTCATGCAAGCAACTCCAGATTGTGCTCAGTTCTTATCCACAACTGAGCAATGGAGTTTTGCTGCTACTAGATTTTTAGTTTCTTCACTAAAAAATTGGGCTCTGATACTTAAAAATGTACACTACTTACTGCCTATCATTTCAATAAGATCCCAAGGCAGTCTAGCACAGTGAATGGAAAACCATTTGCAGGATGTATATTTTCCTTCAGTGAAGCAGATGGACTGATAATGCTCTGCTTGAATATTACAATCTGATCTGAGCATTAACAAAGCACCCATGGTGTGTTCTACAACAGCAAGGTCCTGAGGGTCCACATAGATGTAAACCTCACCTCTCCTAGCTCAAGCCAAAGGTTTTTTTATTCTTATAGTGAAAATTAAACAAGTAAATAAACATAATGGAATCCTTAAGGAGTTCTAACTGATGAATTTACAATAGTTCAGATAGCTATTGACTCAACAAATAATTTTTTACCCAGATGAATACACTTCTGCACAGGTGTGTATGTGTGTGTGTGTGTGTGTGTATGTGTATGTGTATGTATATGTATATGTGTGTATATATATACTGGTGGCTGTTGGAGAAAGTGGAAGTATGCAAGACGATACCCCTCAGTGTCAGGGGACTACTTTAAAGTGCAGTCAAGATCTGGATCATCTTCACTGAAAAGCAAGGGGGTATATTTCAGTGAATGAGGATCAGATCTTTAAATCTTATTGCAGGTTGTCTATATGGAGATATATATATATCTATATATATATATATATATATAGATATATATAAAATATATCCCTTATCATGAATATCAGTCATTAAGAAACATCATAGATTCTGGGGAGAGAAAAAACTCTCACATCTATCAATCTCAGTTGAATACACTTTAGTCAGCCTTTTTCAACGGGTTCTAGGACAGAATTAGACACAATACCCTAAGGCATATATATGTAAGTAATGAATTAATTTCCTTCTGATGTATGTAGAATTATACTAATGATGTAAAATCCCTGGGAAAAACAGAGAAAATCATTTTCTGTGTTCTGCTGATCAGAACAGGAACCCTGGTTGAGCTCATTATTTTGCCAGCATTTAACAGCTGCTTACCACTGCAAACAGAAGAGGTGATGTTGTACAGAAAAGGATAAAACTGCATACAGCGTATCAACTTCAGGCTGTTTTCACATTCTGGGCATTTGGTCGTTAATTTCAAAGCCTGTCTAAAGGCCTCAAGTGCCCCACTGATATTCTTCAGAGCAAGGTAAGCATTTCCCAGGCTCAAAAAGGTCAGGGGCTGAAAAACAAAATTAGAAAAATGTTAGTGAATTAATATTTCCTGAGAGTTACAAAACTTCTGAAGTATACGTCTTTTGGCTTCTTTTAGGTTATCCCATAATAGTTAATGGCTAACTGTCCATTCTATTTAAATCATCCAATTCTACAATTTTACCCTTTTACTAAAATAAAAAATAAAGTGTAATATACACTAAAGTATATAGATCAGTGAATTTTTATATGTGTATATATCCCTGTAACAACCTCTCATCCCAAGATATAAAACATTTAGAATGTTTCTAAGACTCCAAAGGATTCCCTTGGGCAACCCAACCCAAATCCCAGATGCAACCAGTGTCGTTACGTTCTAGCACCATACATTAACTCTGCCTGTCCTGAAACCTCATATAAATGCAATCAAACAGCATGTTCCCTTCCATGTATATGTAATCTGTACACTTTTGTAGATTCTTTTACTCAATACAATATCTAAGGTTTATAAAACTGAATGTTTTTTGTATATAGTAGTTTATTATTTTTTTTAATTGATGTGTAATGTCTACCATGTGAATACATAGTTTGTTCATTCTCCTACTGATAAGCATTTGGACTGTTTCCAGTTTTGGGCTATGATGAATAAAGCTACTATGAACATTTTTGCAACTACCTTTTGATAGACATATTTGCTCATTTTCCTTGGATATATACTCAGCAGTGGGTCTTAGGGCAGGCATATATTTAGTTTTATAAGATATAACCATTTTTTTTTAAGATTTTTATTTATTTATTTGAGACAGAGAGTATGAATGGGGGTAGGTGCAAGGGGGAGGGAGAAGGACAAGAAGACTCTGAACTGAGTGTGGGCTTTAAAGTGCAGTCAAGGTGGGGCTCAATTCCACAACCCCGAGATCACAACCTGAGCCAAAACCAAGAGTTGGGTGCTTAACTGACTGTGCCACCGAGGCGTCCCACAACCAAGGAGTTTTCTAACTCCTGGGATGTACAAATTTACACTCTTACCAGGAAGTATGAGAATCTATTAGTACTGTCAGTTCTTTAAATTTAGCTGTTTTAGAGAAATAATGAAGTAGCATCTCGATGTGGTTTCAGTTTGTATTTCCTTGATTAGTACTGGTGTTGAATATTTTGTCATGTGCTTATGGCCATTTGGATATCCTCATTTCTGAAGTGCCTGTTGTTTTCCCCATTTAAAAAAAAAAAAAAAAAAAAACAACCACAGGTTGTCTTTTCCTTACTGATTTGAAGGAACTCTTTATATATGTACCAGATATGGGTCCTTTGTTGGAAATATTTATTGCAAATATCTTCTCCCAGTATGGGGTTTGCCTTTTATTCTTTGACTAGTATCTCTGATAAAAAGACATTCTTACTTTTGATGAATTTCTGTTTACAGATATATACATGAATATGTATATGTAAAATATATATTTTACAGTTAGAGCTTTTTTAAATGTTTGCCTACTATAACATCATGAAGACCATCCCTTATTTTTTCATCAAGCTTTACTATTTCATGTTTCACATTCTGGTACATGATCCACCTCAACTTAATTCTGTGTATGAAGTGAGGGAGGAGTCAAGGTTCATTTCTTTTTCCCCAGGGATATCCAAGTATTCCAGCATTACTTACTGAAAAACCACCAGGTGTCCCTATTGCCCTGAACTACTAGTATATCTTTGTCATAAATCAAGTAACCATATATACAGGGGGTACTTCTAATTTTTCTCTTATGTTTTATTGATATGTTTGAGTATCCTTGTGCCAATACCACACTGACCTAATTACAGCAAGTCCTGAAATATAGTAATAGAAGCCTTCCCACTGTTTTTTTCTTCCCCTCACCCACAAATTTTCTGGCTATTCTAGATCCATTTCTGTGTAGATTTTAGAATCAATTTATCCATTTACACACACATATACATGCAATCACCGGAAGTTCAGGGTTAAATCTATAAATCAATTCTGGAGAGAACTTACATCTTAATATTGAAACCCTCCAATGCATGAGTATAATGTCTCTTCACCTATTTAGGTCTACTTTGTCTTAGCAATATTTTGCAATCCAGTATAGAACTCTTATATCTTTCTTTAAATTTATTTCTAGGTATCTTGCTTGTTATTATAAATAGTTTTTGTATTCTATTTTCCAATTGTTTGTTGAGACTGTTTTTATAAGCAGCCCTATGTATTCAGTTTAGGTCCTTTTAGTTGAAATACACCTATGCTTGTTAATTTGTATTTGCTTGTGTACAAACCATTTTTTCTACACTTATTTTATCATTAAAAATATTTTAAAGGATCTAAGAACGTTTTATTTTTCAAACTGTACAGTATATCCCTATGAAAAGCAATACCTATGATTTATGCAACTACTTGCTTTTTTTTTTTCCCCTTCTAACTACTTGCTTTTGATTCAGGCTGTTATTTATTTATTTATTTTTTAAAGATTTTATTGATTTATTTCACATAGAGAGAGAGAGAGACAGCAAGAGAGGGAATACAAGAAGGGGAAGTCGGAGAGGGAGAAGCAGGCTTCCTGCTGAGCAAGGAGCCCGATGCAGGGCTCGATGCCAGGACCCCGGGATCATGACCTGAGCCGAAGGCAGATGCTTAACAACGGAGCCACCCAGGCGCCCCTGATTCAGGCTGTTAGGTCATCCACAATATCTCATTATAACCAAACCAAGGTATACAAAATATTCCATATCACAGAGGCATAATCTAAGTAGCTCTCAGATTACATTTAAAATCTTACTTTGTGGTTCATACCCAGATGCAATTAAATCCCATATTTGGATTTCAAAGTGTCTTTATATTTTCACATAAGGAAACAAAATGTTTATTCCTATGACCAGAATGATGGTTGTGCAAATATCTTATATTGAGATAAACTCATTAGTATTTTAGGAAAAAAATGAATTTTCATCAGTGCATCCAGAAAATAACTGAGTTTTTACTACTGTTTTATATACTGGGGATACAGCAGAAAATAAGAAAGATAAGTCCCTGCCTTTGTAGATGTTTTAGTCAAGTGTCGTAAAAACATGAGGGTATCACACAAGTATGAGAAGAATGTGATGGAGAAGAGTATAGCTGGGAAGAAACATTAAATAGACCAAAGTGGGGAACAGAATGCCATTTTAAATACTGGAGGAAGGGAAAGACCTACTGAGTAGTTAATATTTTAAAGGATTTCAAGGAGACGAGGCAAGCTATGAAGAATCTTGGTGGAGTGAAGTATCCAAACAGAGAAAATAGAAGGTTCAAAGAGGCTGAGGTGGGAGCATACCTAGTGTGTTCAAGGAAATGCAGAGGTAAGTGAGGCTAGAACAGAATGAGCAAAGGAATGATTTCATGGGGATGAGGTCAGAAAAATAACAAAGTCATGTAAGCCCTTCTACACTATTATAAATTCTTGTCTTTTACTATGAGTTACGTGGAGAACCATTGCGGAGATTTAAACAAATGACAACATATGACCTTTCATAAGGATCTTACTGATTGCTATGAATAGACTACAGGGGGACAAATGCCAAAAGCAGAGAAGTTAGGCCGGAGACTAATGAAATAATTCAGAATAGATAATGGTATATTGGATCAGACAGCAGTGGAGATAAACTGCAATTCTGGGTATATTTTGAAAATATCAGCAAGGTAAGTTAATACACTGAATTTACCCTGAGAGAGGAAAAAAGGTGTGAAGGACGGCTCCAAGTTTTTATCCTGAACTACTAGCTTTACTGTTTCCTGAAATGGGAAAGATAGAGAAGAAAAGACTGGAACAATGTAAAGGAGCTTAGTTTTGGCCTTTAGTTCTAAAGTGTGTTTTAGATATCCACATGGCGGTCAAGTAAGCTGCTGGATAAAGGATCTGCAGTTCAGAGCAAACCTGACAGGTGACACAAGACGGAAATGATAGGGTTCTCAAGATGTGGTGCTGGAACAACCGGATGTCTATGTGATACGAACTTTGATGAATGAACTCTGATCTCCACTTTGTATTACAAAAACAATTTAACTTGAAATGGTTCACAAACCTAAATGTAAAACCTAAAACTTCAAATGGTCTCAAAGACAACATAGGAAAATATTTTACTGTATTTGAGTCAGCTATTTAAAGACAAGTAATAGCAAAGACAAAATAGAACTAATTGCTTTCAAATTTCTTGTGAGGATACCTTAAATCTAACAATAAAAATCAAAAGAGAAAAGATGGGCAAATTGAAGGGTATTTTTAAAAGAGAAGACAAAAGCGGGGTACCTGGGTGGCTCAGTGGGTTAAAGCCTTTGGTTTAAAGCCTTTGGCTCAGGTCATGATCCCAGGGTCCTGGGATGGAGCCCCATAGTGGGCTCTCTGCACAGCGGGGAGCCTGCTCCCAGCTCCCCCACCTATTTGTGATCTCTGTATGTCAAATAAATAAAATCTTAAAAAAAGAGAGAGAGAAGACAAACAAAGAGAAAAAATTTTTCATGTATGATGGAGTTAAAGATTTTGTATAAAGAGTTTGTATAAAATAAAAAAATCTAAATTCGAACAAAATGGGCAAAGTGCACACAAAAACTTTTATTTTAAAAATACGATTAAAGGGATGCATGGCGGGCTCAGTCTGTGAGCGTGTGGCTCTATCTCAGGATTATAGCTTCAAACCCCACCTTCAGTGTAGAGATTACTTAAAAAAAATAATAAAATCTTCAGAAAAAATTAAAATAAGAAAATAGAAATGCAATTAAAGGATAAAGAAATTTATGTTCCAACACAGGAGAGATATTTTGTTAAGTACACTTGTTTTACAAATGTTAAGTCAGAGGCTGTGTGGCATGGCCAAAGGGTGTGAGTGCTGTGGCCAATCTCCCGGAGTTCAAATAAATCCAACTTTGAGACTTCTGGTAAATCCCTTTTGCCCGTTTCTTTATCTATCAAATGGGCAAATTCTATCTCGCAGGGTTATTGTGAGGATTAAATGAGTCATCACATGTAAAGGGATCAGTATGGTGCC